TTGTTTAATGTGCACTCAAAAATATAGCTATATGATGAATTCTGTAGATAATAAAATCTGTACCAGACAATCCAGTGATGGACATTATGAGTTCATTCATGATGCCACGTTATCAACCAAACCACTGACCATCCGATCATTTTGGTCGCCTCTTACGACCACGCAGGTTGTTGGGCTTCAATTCTAACCCAGAATCCCCACCTGGGTAATGGGTCTTAATTTTCAGGACAATCAAAATGCTCATGAACACTTAAGCCGACCCCGTCCTATCATCCCATCTAAAGCTGCCAGCATAGTTAGGGTAAACAGTTCAAGGGGACCTCTATTACCCAGAATCCACACAGGTTGTCATATAGAATGTAGAATCATTGCTTCACTTCTGGACAATGAGGAACAAATTACTCTTGGGAGGACTTTATGATAGCTCCTTAAACAAGCTCTCTCTAACATAAGCACCTATGTTGTAGATCAATTGTTAAACAATGACTCAATTTCTGTTGAAATAAGACAACCCCATTTAATATCCTTTCCTTAAAAAGCAATAATTTAACTGATGGAATATATATACAGTATATGGACATAAGGAAATGTGATCCCTGCCCACATCACTCGAAGTCAGCACTAAATGTGAAGCGCTGTCTCAGCTGAGCCAACACTGACACCCTCCACAGATGGCTGCTCTGAAGCTTATGCGCAGAGATACCTAGACTTTACGCGTGTACCTAGACTTTACGTGTGTACTTACACTTTACGTGTGTACCTAGACTTTATGTGTGTACCTAGACTTTACGTGTGTACCTAGACTTTATGTGTGTACCTAGACTTTACGTGTGTACCTAGACTTTACGTGTGTACCTAGACTTTACGCGTGCACCTAGACTTTACGTGTTCACTTACACTTTACGTGTGTACCTAGACTTTATGTGTGTACCTAGACTTTACGTGTGTACCTAGACTTTATGTGTGTACCTAGACTTTACGTGTGTACCTAGACTTTACGTGTGTACCTAGACTTTATGTGTGTACCTAGACTTTACGTGTACCTAGACTTTACGTGTGTACCTACACTTTACGTGTGTACCTAGACTTTTACGTGTGTACCTAGACTTTACGTGTGTCAATGTTTAGAGGGTATATATGTTGTTTTTACCCACCTGTTTCTTGACATTTGGGTATTTTAACTTGAAAACCTGTTTCATAACAATCCCTGTAAATCATTTAAAAATATGTGAATACATGTAGTAGTATACCCGTCTGATTGTGGCTCCCTCTCCAGGAAGCCATTTTTGTTTGCAAAACCTGACATTATAAGAAAGGTGCTATCGAATCAGTGACTGTTTTAGAAACCACATGTACACTGACCAGGCACAATGTACTTTTCAATTGGCATGTATCAGCATGTTTGTCACACAAGCTTTTAACGAATGTAACAGGCGGTAAGCTGATACACAATCATATTATCTAACAGTTTTACCATATGCATTAATTATATTTCAATAGCGTATTTATAGTTTTCTTGATCATTTGATATGCTGGACTTGTTTCGTCTGCATATTTCAGTTTATTTATTGCACGTTTTATGCAAACACGCAGCTCTGGGCTGTTTCAGGTTCAGTGTTTGGTTCTCCCCCATGTGGATACCAGCTTAGAATAGGTCCCCAGTCCCCTACACCTGTTCATGCTTGTCGTAAGAGGCAACTAACGGGATCAGGTGGTCAGGCTCACTGACTTGGTTGATGCATGTCATCGATCCCAATTGCGTGGATCGATGCTCAGGATGTCAATCACTAGATTGTCTTGTCCTTACTCGATTACTTACAGACCGCCATCAAATAGCTGGAATATTGCTGAGTGTGGCATTAAACAACAAACAAACCTACACTTGCCAGAGGCCTTGGTTTTGTAAGCTGGGGTATACATAGTGTGAAAGGGGAAAACATGGCGTCAAAGGGGAAAACATGCATCAAAGGGGAAAACATGGCGTCAAAGGGGAAAACATGGCGTCAAAGGGGAAAAGATGGCGTCAAGGGGAAAACATGGCGTCAAAGGGGAAAACATGGCGTCAAAGGGGAAAACATGGTGTCAAAGGGGAAATCATGGTGTCTAAGGGGAAAACATGGTGTCAAAGGGGAAAACATGGTGTCAAAGGGGAAAACATGGCGTCAAAGGGGAAAACATGGTGTCAAAGGGGAAAACTTGGTGTCAAAGGGGAAAACATGGTGTCAAAGGGGAAAACATGGTGTCAAAGGGGAAAACATGGTGTCAAAGGGGAAAACATGGTGCCAAAGGGGAAAACATGACGTCAAAGGGGAAAACATGGCGTCAAAGGGGAAAACACTGCGTCAAATTGTCAGTATCACAAAACAGTTGGAACACATGCTTCATGGATCAATCCACATGCTGAAACCTGGTAGAATTTTACAAGAAAATTTCTTAAAGAGTGTCCGTTTTCAGTCTTGGTCTAAATTTAATAATTAGTACTCTTTCTGAAACTGAGCCATTTGTCTCCATGTAAATAGAGTATACACTAACTACTAGATGGACAAACAATATATGAAATATGAATTAGAATATAATCAGTGTTGTTGATATCTTAAAGGCAACTGGCTGGGACTGCCAATCTGCCAGAGCCAAGCCCCCCTTTAATTAAGATTAGCACAAGCCAGGTTAATTCCCAAAGGCTTTTACCAAACCTTTCTTTGCCAGGATCCATCCATTTTCTCACTCACCAATCCAAAACCAGCCGATAATAAATTTTCATCCCAGGATTATTCACTCACCTACCTTCTAAACCACCAACCTACAATTCCACCTAGCCAACACCAACCAACCAAATCTCTGACTGCCTGCCGTCTCAAGCCCTTGAACACTTCACAGGCTGGTACGACACAGATTACCACACAAAGAACCTTCCAATCACAGTGTTCCATTACCACAAACATGACATTGAGATCCAAAACACAACTGCTTACAATCTAATGATCAGTATTATTTTTAGAGGATGCTACTTTATGAGTGTCAAAAAACATGAAATGTTGCAGAGGTAATTAGTCAGTGGTTACCTTTAACTCGAAAATAATCACTACAGAAAAAAGAGAGTTAATAACCTCTTCCCCCACCTCAATCATCTCTGGTTACAGAATGCCAATCACAATGTCCAACCAAATTGAGTCTGAATTGGTCTGGTGCATTTTTATTGAATAACGTTCATTATATGTACATCGATAGTCTGTGCCACTTCCTCTACCCCGGGATGGGCTGAGTGTGAGCATCCAGACACTTCCTGTCTAAACTGCACACTGGGAAGATGTAGACCACACAGTCAATCGGGCCACCAGTTTATGCATATCTAGCACCAGTTACAATTACACACTTCCTGGCTCACCTGCACACAGGGCAGGTCTACTAGACCAGTCATGAACCTCTAATGACATCATCCTATTGTTGTTACAGGGCCTTCTTTTCATAGAATAGTTTCATAGATGGTTTCATAGAAGGGACATTCCACAGAACACCCACCTGTCTGAGGTATATGCTATAGAATGTCCCTTATTAGAGATTTATTTCGCAATCGAACACAATCTACAAAACACATGCGCAGAATGTCAAAATCAAACAACAAATGTCACTTATACATATACATTGTCCTGGGTTCCGTTGTACAAAACAACCTTAGTGCTACACCTGTCATAAGTCTATGTTAAGGTATGGGAGTTACGATCACATTAGCGCTAAGATCGCTTTGTACAACGGCACCCTGGTTTCAGGCCTACAGGAATGAACAGTTTTGGTTTCACTGACTTGGAAGACGCTGACCATTTATATTTGCAAAGGACAATAATATACCAGGGGGAGCATGCAGTCTTCATCTTTCATGGTTTATTTCCCTCTATTTTCACACTTATCTTTAAAACTGATGGCACAGCAAAGAATGAGCTATGCTTTATATATCCATGTGTTTTGTACCAGTCAACCCTCTCCTGTCACAAGCTCGTGACAATCTGGGGTAGAATAGGCCTTCAGCAACCCATGCTCGCCGTAAAAGGCGACTATGCTTGCCTTAAGAGGCAACTATGCTTGTCGTAGGAGGTGACTAACGAGATCGGGTGGTCAGGCTCACTGACTTGGTTGATGCATGTCATCATATACCAATTGCTTGGAACAATGCTCATGATGTCAATCATACAAACAAACAAAACAAACATCCTCACAAATGAAACCAAGGATCTATCCCTCAAAGTGATCGTAACACAAACACCATCTTATGTCTGTATTCAGGTTGGGAAAATCACAAAATTGTTAATTTTCTATCAAAGCAATATGAAGAATCTGGCTGTCACATCTTTTTGCCTGATAATGATGCAACAGTGAGACATGCTTCATGACAGCTGCTTTCAAGATTGTGTCAATTACTGAACACAACTTTCCACTATTTAATATCCGATCTGTCAATACATGTCACCGGCTGCTATCATTTCCATGGGAAGTACATTCAATTTTCCTAAACTTACAAAAATTATTGCCATAGGCATGTGGACAGACATGCAATTCAGCTTCTAGAAATAAGGGAAGAAAATCCTGAAGGAACATCAAAGCAGTCTCAATCTGCCATTCACTCCAAGCCCATTTAACTCCCTGTGTCTGCAGCTGTCTGTTGCTGTCTGTCCATCTGTCCACCACAACGTACCAATTTGTTCCATCTCTTCTGTCAGTAGTGAGTGAGTGAGTGAGTGAGTTTTGCGTGATACTGCTCTGAGCAGTATTTTAGTGTATCATCTTGGTGTGGGTGGAAAGCATAAGGCGATGAGGCCTTGGACATTTACCATTTTGGTGAAACCCACGAAAACGGGTACGGTGCTGACAAACTTAAAAAGTATAATGAAGATGAACCAGGATTCGAACCCTAAATCAGTGGTTTCTAGCATGCCTAAGGGATGCAGTTCTCAATGGGTAAGCTATGTAGTTATCAACAGGTACAGCAAGATACATCTGATGATTACCTGAACTCGATGTATCCATCCACCAAAGCCACGGAGAAGAAATCTGTCTTGGCATCGTCTAGTTCTGCACTGAAGAGCAGCAGACCATTTTTAGCCTCTGGTCGGAACTCCATTGAGATCCGGAAGTCTCGGTAGCCATTCTTCAGGACAGGCAGCGCCAGGTAACCCATTCCATGAAACTTGGGGTAAACAACGGAGATGACTGCAAAAAACACAAGTTGATTAGAGTTAGGCTTCTACACAATTGATTAGAGCTAGGCTTCTGCACAAGTTGATTAGAGATAGGCTTCTACACAAGTGGATCAGAGTTAGGCTTCTACACAAGTGGATCAGAGTTAGGCTTCTACACAATTGATTAGAGCTAGGCTTCTGCACAAGTTGATTAGAGCTAGGCTTCTACACAAGTGGATCAGAGTTAGGCTTCTACACAAGTGGATCAGAGTTAGGCTTCTACACAATTGATTAGAGTTAGGCTTCTACACAATTGATTAGAGCTAGGCTTCTGCACAAGTTGATGAGAGATAGGCTTCTACACAAGTTGATGAGAGATAGGCTTCTACACAAGTGGATCAGAGATAGGCTTCTGCACAAGTTGATTAGAGATAGGCTTCTACACAAGTTGATTAGAGCTAGGCTTCTACACAAGTGGATCAGAGATAGGCTTCTGCACAAGTTGATTAGAGCTAGGCTTCTACACAATTGATTAGAGCTAGGCTTCTACACAAGTTGATGAGAGATAGGCTTCTGCACAAGTTGATTAGAGCTAGGCTTCTACACAAGTTGATTAGAGCTAGGCTTCTACACAAGTTGAGAGGAGCCAGAAGGTTAACAGTCACATTACCATCTCATACTAAATGTACTCATTTGTACTGCTGGGTAAACAGAGGCATGCTTCGAACAAAATCACTTGTGTTACATGTGCTTCAGTGTTGTGCACTACAAACATTACTGACATTTTCTGGTTTTGCTGCGTGTCATGTGTGGGAGATAACACACAATACAACATAGCAACTGAAGTATCTTGTGCATGTTGGGCCTCATATCAATTAATCACGTTATGAACACGAGGTTGTCCCAATAGCTAGCTGCCAAAACTGACAGGATTTCTTCATTCCTGATAACAAATTCCAGGGTAATGTCCACACGGATAACAGATGGGACTCCCCTGATTTAACATAGACTCTTGATGCCTTAGTGCTTAGATTGTTCTGTGTAATCAGACACAGGTCAGTCTTTTATGTACTACTCGAAATAAATTAAAGAGCACCCAATTTTTTCATATGGCATGACATATGAACTATTGTCATATGAAAAAATAACAACGTAAAAAGTGACCAGGCACACTAATACACCCGACTTCGACTCCAACATAGTTCAAAACATGAAAAATGCAATATTTTCTAAAAAAATCACCCTATCAAAATCAAACTGCATTGCATTGTTCCTATTAGTATGGAAACTGTTAGCTAAATTTGAAAAGAGTCTATGATTTAGTTTAGAAGTTATAGGTCATACAAATGTTTAAGTAAAAACAATTGTAAGTAAAACAAAAATTAAAATAGCTGTATTTTTTCAGAAAATCCAAATATTGAAATCAAACTTCGTACTGCATCCCTCCTATTGGCGTAGAAAGTGTTCACCAAGAATCTATACAGTAGTTTTCAAATTATAGGTTGCAAACAAAAATGTCCTCAGAAGGACTGACGAACGGAATTCCTTAGTGTAACTTTATACCCCTGCCGTTTTAGGTCTGGGTATAATAACCTAATATATGACTATAGTTAAGGCATGACAGATCAGCTATACTCAAATATAACAATTGGGTGTTCTTTAACTTCCTTTGAGTAGTATATTTCCAAGCTCTCTCAGTTAATACCACGACCTTTCAACAGCACCATTTATTAACCCTACTGAGATGGAATTTGAGTTGGTTTTGTCATAGTCGACTACGAGTGAGTAAATGAGTTGGATTTAATTATTTAAATGCAATATTCCAGCCATTTCACTGTGTGTCAGCGTGATGTGGGAGGAAACCTTAAAGTGATGCAGGTCTGAGACATTTACCACTTTGATGAAAGCCACGAGCATATGTTTGGAGCTGAAAAACCTTGAACCATGATGGGGAGGAACCGGGATTCAAACCCATGGTCAAAGATTTCTGGCGTGTCTATGGGATGCAACTCTGCACAGCGAATCACAGCACCCAAGAGAACTGCGCCCCTGTGCCCCCAGTGGACTACGAGCTATTGCATGGTCACCAGGCAATAACTCAGCTGACAGTAGTAAGCAGTGTTGGCTGAAGAGCGCGTTTTTGCGTCTTGGACGCACAAAAATAAGTTTGAACGCACCTGCGTAACATGTGTGGGTCTCGTGGACGCAGTGACTGGGGCTATATTAATTTCATATTGAATTGACACTGATATCGTAAATCAAAGACGTACGTCTTTGCGTAAAGGTATTTGTTGCCAAACAAGACAGCGAAGCATGTTGATTAACACTTCCGTTTGCTAAACCAAACCAGTTTCATTATTCTCTCCCTTTTTATGACAAATACCCAAACCGGTTACTTGACCTATATCTATTGTCGGTTTTGCATGTATTAATTTTCGGTATGGTCCGTAGCTTTGCTTCAGCCAATCAGGTGCCACATATTAAGCAAGTCGGATATAGTCGTAATTAATTTAGCTTGCTGATTGGTCGAAAACATCCTGACCTTGTGTCAAACTAAAAATAGCCAGGGTATACTTCAGAACGTGGTAACAGTGACCCGCGAAATGGAGCGACCGTGTAGGATGATACGCTATGTTATCGCGGTAGTTAATTTATAATGGATCGTAGTGGGGCACGCTTACAAACTTATTAAATATGTGATTCACAAAATGTTTGTTGTTCATTGGAATGATTGATGCTGATTTTCTTTACCAAGTTCGGTAAACAAAGTACCTGTCATTGGTGAATCTTACCGCAGTAAGTAAGGCTGTGTGGATTATATGGTATATCACTTCCTGTTTTGAATTTTGCATACGACCGAGGTTTGGTCAAGGGACTTCGTTTGAACAAATGGGTTCTTTTTCTAATCAATTTTGAATGGAGGAAGGGGTAATTCCACTTCAAAAACATCCCAGGAACTGTCATAAAAAAGTTAACGTGTGTACAAGTAGCCGTGACATACCGCAACGAGTCCTGTATTCGATCATGCGATGAAATATATCGTGCTTAGATTTGCATAAGTAAACAGTCGACAGGTTGTGTGGATTACGAGATTTATCAATACCGCGATACTGTATATGATAAAGAATGAATGCGAACACTTGAATGTACAATGATGTAAGCATTGTTTTTATTTAGCGGACTCTGAATATTTAGTTATTCTACAACAGACTTATCAAGCTGATAATAATTCAATCTCTTGTGAGTTATATTAAGAATTGCAAAACACATTTTGCCAGGACCGTTATTGGTGTAACTGACATGTTTAAACATTTATAGCACCTGAAACATGTTGATTTATCAAGGAAATGCTGGATCCTGAACATACTCTTACTAAAAAAACGTTTGATATGCCAATTATATTTTATGACTCATTGATCATTGTCACAGTTACAACATGAACTCAATGCTCAGTACAGTAGCATCAGAACAGCTATTGAACTTAACTGAATCCAAAACTTCAAATCATTGGTAGATCTCGGTAAAAACATTCACAAATGTCTGTCACAATGACCCCTTACCAATGGCTGACCCGTGTACTGCCTTTTCATATACGAAGTTAGATATTAACATGGATAATTTTGTGTTATAATATTCATTAATATCAAATGTCCCTTTTAAGAAATTGTTTGTCCCTTAATGTAAACCTCTTGGTTATGAGAGCAGGATGTGCCCTGATGTGAACCTTTCTCTCACTTTGCCTGTTTGTTGATATTTTGCAGTTGCGAAAAGATTTCTTATTTTTCACAACCACTGTGTTCTGTTGTTAATGTTATGTTATAATGCTATAAATTAGACCCCTCCATTTTTGTTTGGGACCCCTAATTTTATGATGAAGGGGTCCAAGTGACCCCAAGAAAATTTAAGCCAGAGCAGACACTGAGTAAGCATATAACTAAATGGGTTCAGGAAATAAAGCTTTGATGATTGAATATCATGTTAATAAAAGTAAAGAAAACCTATTATTTTGCACTCCAACAAATTGAATCATTTCTTGAAGGGCTAAAGTCAATATTCCAAGAAATATGAGATAAGCCAGTTTATTAGTTCTGTTATTGCTCTCCATAGTTGTCAGTGTAATGAGATCCAGGAACAAATTAACCCTGTTCTAACAATACATCAGAGAATGGCAAACACACTATCTCCTTGAAAGATCCTTCAGACAAACTATTATTAATTTCAGTCTGTTGGTGTCATAATGAAAGGGAAACAAATAATACCTTGTCTGTATTGAAAAATAAACACAATTGTAAGTACTAGTAGGTACAACATTCAGACAAGTTTCAACAACAAAAAATACCACTGAAAGCAAATACAAAAAAAATTCTCAATTTCCTCAAATAATCTGTTTAAAGGTCTTAAAAAATATTCCAACTGCAACACTAGGAAGTACAACATTTCTCCACTTCCTCCACAATAATCTATGTTCAAACTTAAAGTTTGCTTCATTGGACAGCTAGTTATATGATGACAATATGCTTAAAAACAACATAATGCATTCACCAACTTGGATACTTGTAAAACATTCATCTGACACCTTATCACAATGGCGTAATTCCAGCAATCTTAGTCCCAAATGTATGAATCAGGAATTTCATTTAAGGACAGTGAAAAACATTCATTTCAAATCATGGAATGTTACAAAATAGTAAGAAAGGCTTTTCAAATGTCAAGGGAACATGACACATTGGCCCTCCCACATAGTGGGACGATGTTCCAGGATATTCTACGAAAAACGTAAGCCATTGTCTGTTAAAGCAAGCTTGAGTGCTAGTATATGCTGTGTTTTACTGACTTCAGGCTTGAAAGTTCACGAACTAGTTCACAATAGTGGATTATCAAATAGAGTGAAGAAACCAAAACCATAGCTACTGTAATACAAACATAGAAGACGTCGTAACCATATTCGAATAAGCACCCGCAGCGATATTTGCTAATATATTGGCTAGTGAACAATCCAAATTAGCACCCCTTCCGATTGATCAATGTACACAAGACTTATTTATTCGTGTGTAATACGCACTCATGTGTTATATGCACCCTTAATTATGGGCAATTAAATTCTGGAAAAATATATCTGTTTTATATAAACATTTCAGGCTGTCACCATAAACCACAAAATTTATCTTTCAACTCTGTTTTTTTCACTAAAATAATATTCTAATAAGAGACCCATATTTCTAATTTGAGAGCGCCCTGGGTGCTTATTACGTCGAATACAGCATATTTCTCCAGTTTTACAACCATCTTCTATCATCCCCTCACTAACAGGACCAGCATAGGTTACTGGGGACCTCTTCAAACCGAGATCCCGACAAATATGAGAGTGAGTTGGGTATAACGCCGCTTTAAATAGTCTTTCAGTTTTATCATGGTATTTCAGCTTGATGTGGGAGGAAAGTCCGAAGTGATGCAGGTCTCAGACGTTTACCACTTCGGTGAAATCCACCAGCATTGGTATGGTGCTAGCGAACCTAGAAACAATCAGGGAAAAACAGAGATTTGGACCCATGATCATGGTGTGACAAAGGGCCACAACTCTGCACAGCCATTTGCGACACATCATATGACTGGGTCACCTGTACTCCAACAAATATGAGAAGATGCTAGCACAACAGGTATCAACGACAGTAAACTTTCTCTAACAGAAACAGACTAATCACAGCTCAAAATAGACGGATGGTTAAAAACTTACCTTTTTCACATCGGCTGCCAGCCGTTCCAATTGGACAGTTGCATCTTGGGATATTAGCATCAACGACACAAGTTCCATTATTCTGGCACACCATCCCATCACATGTGACAGTCTTCGAAGGTCGTAGCTTGAACTTGCCCTTCCCTTCCGTCCACTCCGGACTCATCAAGTCATTCTGAGAGTGCTCTCCCCCTTCCCGGATATGGAAGTCGGAGATAGGGTCAGGGATGTCTTTGCGTAGGTCATACGTTTTAATTGAAATTTCAGGATTTTCTGGCAGGAGGCCAACACGATCAACTTTGTCCAAAATTTTGGTTTTCCTATGACTAGAGTCTGTTGATAGCAGACTACCCTTGTCTTGGGAGAGATTGGATTCTTCCTGAGATTGTTTTTCATTGCCTGGCAATACTTCATTGGCAATGTTATAATTTGAATGTGAAGGTGAGGCATCCCTCGATTTGTCTAAGTCACCTCTGACCTCTGACCCCAAGTCATGTTGGTCATGCTCCAATTGTTGCCGCACATAGGCTTGGTCAACTGAAAACATAAAAAAATAGGCCCCTTAAAATAAAGCTTACTGAAATTGAACTTTTATTATTCATCATGATGTTCATTTTTTAATACATGTTTTATGATGGAATGGACCTATGTGAAACAAATGTTGATATGGCAAGACATTCATCAGTTGGGCTACTGAGTTAGATTCACAGGAATATGAACAGGAAGTTTGATATCCTCAATCATCATTCAAGATGATTCCCTTGCATATATGTGTGTTGCCTCTGGATGTATCCTTAACACAAGTCCACCTATTAACAAGCAACCACCAAGTCCCTCACAGAAGTCCACCTATTGGCTATCAACCCCGATGTCCCTCACAGATGTCCTCCTATTGATAATCATCCCTGACATTTCTCACAGAAGTCCACCTATTTACAATCAACACACACGTCCCTCATGGACGTCCTCCCATTGATAATCATCCCTGCCATTGCTCACAAAAGTCCACCTATTAACAATCAACCCTCATGTCCCTCACAGAAGTCCACCTATTGACTATCAACCCCTATGTCCCTCATGGACGTCCTCCCATTGATAATCATCCCTGACATTTCTAACAGAAGTCCACCTATTGGCTATCAACCCCCATGTCCCTCACAGAAGTCCACCTATTGACTATCAACCCCCATGTCTCTCACAGAAGTCCACCTATTGACTTTCAACCCCCATGTCTCTCACAGAAGTCCACCTATTGACTATCAACCCCCATGTCCCTCACAGAAGTCCACCTATTGGCAATCAACCCTCATGTCCCTCATGGACGTCCTCCCATTGATAATCATCCCTGACATTGCTCACAGAAGTCCACCTATTTACAATCAACCCCCATGTCCCTCACAGAAGTCCACCTATTGGCAATCAACCCTCATGTCCCTCATGGACGTCCTCCCGTTGATAATCATCTGTGACATTCCTCAAAGAAGTCCACCTATTAACAATCAACTCTCATGTCCCTCACAGAAGTCCACCTATTAACAATCAACTCTCATGTTCCGCACAGAAGTCCACCTATTCACAATCAACTCTCATGTTCCGCACAGAATTCCACCTATTGGCAATCAACCCCCATGTCTCTCACAGAAGTCCACCTATTGACTTTCAACCCCCATGTCTCTCACAGAAGTCCACCTATTGACTATCAACCCCCATGTCCCTCACAGAAGTCCACCTATTGGCAATCAACCCTCATGTCCCTCATGGACGTCCTCCCATTGATAATCATCCCTGACATTGCTTACAGAAGTCCACCTATTAACAATCAACTCTCACGTCCCTCACAGATGTCCTCCTATTAACAATCAACTCTCATGTTCCGCACAGAAGTCCACCTATTGACTATCAACCCCCATATGTCTCTCACAGAAGTCCACCTATTAACAATCAACTCTCATGTCCCTCACAGAAGTCCACTTATTGGCTATCAACCCCCATGTCTCTCAAAGAAGTCCACTTATTGGCAATCAACTCTCATGTCCCTCACAGAAGTCCACCTATTGACTATTAACCCCCACGTCTCTCACAGAAGTCCACCTATTGACTATCAACCCCCATGTCTCTCACAGAAGTCCACCTATTAACAATCAACTCTCATGTCCCTCACAGAAGTCCACCTATTAACAATCAACTCTCCTGTTCTTCACAGAAGTCCACCTATTGGCAATCAACCCCCATATGTCTCTCACAGAAGTCCACCTATTGACTATCAACCCCCATGTCTCTCACAGATGTCCTCCTATTGATAATCATCCCTGACATTGCTCACAGAAGTCCACTTATTGGCAATCAACACACACGTCCCTCATGGACGTCCTCCCATTGATAATCATCCCTGACATTGCTCACAGAAGTCCACCTATTAACAATCAACCCTCATGTCCCTCACAGATGTCCTCCTATTGATAATCATCCCTGACATTTCTCACAGAAGTCCACCTATTAACAATCAACACACACGTCCCTCATGGACGTCCTCCCATTGATAATCATCCCTGACATTGCTCACAGAAGTCCACCTATTAACAATCAACTCTCATGTCCCTCACAGAAGTCCACCTATTGACTATCAACCCCCATATGTCTCTCACTGAAGTCCACCTATAGGCAATCAACCCCCTTATATCTCTCACAGAAGTCCACCTATTAACAATCAACTCTCATATGTCTCTCACAGAAGTCCACCTATAGGCAATCAACCCCCTTATATCTCTCACAGAAGTCCACCTATTAACAATCAACTCTCCTGTTCCTCACAGAAGTCCACCTATTGGCTATCAACCCCCATGTCTCTCAAAGAAGTCCACTTATTAGCAATCAACCCTCACGTCCCTCACAGACGTCCTCCCGTTGATAATCATCCCTGACTTTTCTCACAGAAGTCCACCTCCTGGCAATCAACACACATCCCCAAGGTAAGTGCAAGAAGTGGTAATTAACCCTCATGTTCCAAAATTAAGTAAAAATATTGACAATCTTTCTAATGGGCCAAGAATCTAATTAGAAATTAGTGATGCCATAGAAGTGAAATATTTTGCACATTTGCAGTATAAGGTACAAAAGAAACATGTTGTACAATGAAAATATCTTCTAAAACAGTGGCTAATATAATCCAGCAAAACTATTACACTCGCAGTTTTGATTACCACTTCAGGGTAATCTACTGGACAACTTATTGAGCATTTTCTCCTGCGAGTGAATCTTTCATTAGATGTCTTTCAAGCTCACATTACGATTCTTTGTGATAAGGACTTCCAGCTATGGCCGCAATCAGTATTACAAGTACCCAACCCTTGGTAGGAATGATTCCTTTCTGAAATAAGCCTAAGTTGAAACAAGCACTTTCTACCACGCACAGAGCAGTGACCCAAACACTGCAGCTCAAATTTCCATCATGGACACCCACAAAGACCTAGTTTCACCGTTATGGCAAAATGTTCATTAACTGTCCCTACTGACGTAGTTCTTTAGTCCATCTTAAAAAGCAATCACAGCGCCATATAACTGTGTAAGCTTGGCAGAGCTCACTCCCAGTAATGTAATAACATCATCAACTTGGTCAAGAGAATATTACCCCAGAGAAAGATGAGATTGGCCTCTGAAGGAAGTACCTGTCTTGATGGGGACTTGGTGGCCATAAAAATACAAGTCATAAACTGCTCAGTTTTGCCCCTTGGCTATAGGCTGTCCTACTGATGTAATTTCAGTGTTATGCATTCATGAACATCCTCATGAATTATTTCTCTTTTACTGTTCTTGTAGGACATGTCAGGCTGTCAGCTTTTTAAAAAGTGCAAATTGACGAAAAGTGTACCATCTTACAGCTCAAACATGGATTTTATCATCACAAACACTAATTATTCACACAAATGAAACCTAAAACTGTTACTCTGATTACATTGATGATAAAATCAAGGCACCAATAAGAGTGAGTGAGTGAGTGAGTATGGTTTTGTGCCGCTTTTAGCAATATTCAGGCAATATCACGGAGGAGGAAACCAGAAACGGGCTTCCCACATTGTACCAATGTCGGGAACCTAACCCGGATCTTTGGCGTGACGAGCGAACGCTTTAACCACCAGGCTACCCGACCGCCCCGCACCTATATGATGATGTTTAATTTACTATGGATTTAATGGAAACTGTCACATAAATATCTTTAGAGCCATATCCAATAAATTTGTATCATATATCAGGAATGCGTGACTATCATGGACATTCGGACACACTCGTGCAAAAACATTTCTGATAGTATCCAAGATTATTGACACCAGTCAATATTTTCTTACTTTTATATATGCAGTCCCTTGCTAGCCTGACTTGTCGATTCCTGAGTTATTTTCCGTCACTGTAAATTTAGTGAGTGATCGATTGAGTTGGGTTTTACGCTGCTTTGAACAGTATTCCAGTTATATCACGGCATGTCAGCTTATTGTGGGAGAAAAAGGCCAAAGTGATGCAGGTCTCAGATGTTTACCACTGTGGTGAAACCCACGAGTACGGGGAGGGTAGGGCGAACAGGGATTCAAACCCTAATTCACACATTCCAAGCATGCCTAAGGGATGCAACTCTGCACAGCAAATAGTGGTGCCTTAGACAACTGTAATACCCATGTCCCCCACTGCATATTTAAGTTTGTATAGGACAAATGATAACTAAGAACAGGAACTTTAAAACATTGCATCTACATATGTCATAACTTCTCTGAAGGTTCTTCAAGACTAAACGGTTAAATTATAACCCTTCAGAAATTTGAATTTCTGCTCTGAAATCATTGTAACCGTTTGCCCATTACTGCAACAAAATTGAAGTTTTTCCTGCTTCACTCCTTAACTCGTCATTAAAATGCCATTCAAGTCTCCTATAATTCTTGAGAAGAGGAATTAATTGATCGATCAGTGAGGTGCCCCGAGCCCGACCCAGCTAATCAGTGAGTGAAACTCTCTGGCAGCAATTAACCGCATGAGTAATGACAATTGTTAACTTTTCTCTGTGAAGTAACAGGCAGTCACCAGCCATGTGTGGGAAATGTCTTTTTATTGGATTCTGAGATAAAATCCAAATTATTTTTTGGGGTGAAATTTTTTCATATTTTTATTTGAAGTTCTTGTGCCCAAAAGTTTTTTTCAAGTAACTGAAATTTAGAACTTGGAGAAACAAATTCAACAAATTAGATCTTTATCACATTAACATTTTAAAAATAAAAAACTTTTTTATTCAATAATTTTGTTTTTTATTCAAATATTTGCTTGATTATATTAATAAGCCTGTACTATTGTGAAATTAATGTTTAACTGTCACAGTCAAGATAACATGCATGAGAACCTTGTGTAGGCTCAATCTTTTTTCTTCAACTTGCAATTTTCATTGTATAAAAAGTAGGCCATGATGAGGTCATTGCAAACTTTCTTTCCAAGCTATGATGAAGTTACTTTGAGAAGTGGCTTTGTATTTGCTTGTGCTCATTGGCGATAATGGCAGA